GAAAAATATTCCAAGTTAAGAGTCGAATCTCGCATCCAGTCGTGCAAAATCCGACTATGACAACTGATGAAAATATTTCTAAGTTTAAGGTTGAATCACCAACGTGCCTAATGCCGAAAATTAAATGCCGAAATTTTTTTTTTTTTTTTACCGACTGTAGTCATCTAATCGTCCCATTTCCGACTAGGAAAAACGACTATATTTTCGAAGTTAAAAGTTGAATGTAGTCGCCCAAGATCCGACTGTGGAAAGTATCGAAAATTTTCTAGGTTAACGGTTGAATCTCCAACCTGGTCGTCCAAAATTCGATCAGGAAGAATGACAAAAAGTTTTCCAAGTTATAAGTAGAATCTGGAGGTTTATAATTACTCAGAATTTTCTAAAAAATTTGAAATGAACAGCAAATCGTCTGGTCATTTACACGACGACTATAGTCATCTAGGGGGAGAAAGTTGAAATCATCAAAAGCTCAAGATCTGGCGACCCGAACTTTGAATCTCACCATAGAAGCAACTGATTTGTAGTCGGTGGTTGGTCAGTATTTTCGAATTAGCTGGTGATTGTGCCCATCTGTTTTATCTTCAGTTGCTTGCTGCTAAAGCTGAAGTTGTGAAACTATTTTATGCCGAGAATCAAATAAGATAAAAATATATTTTTCGTCCCTTATATTATTTATTAGTGACAATTTAGTCCCACTTTAATTAATTGAATCAATTTAGTTTCACATCTTTAAAATGTATCTCAATGTTTGACCTTCCATTTCCTTCGTTTCAATACTTAACCGATCTTACACATGACATAATGACATGACACGTGTCATGCCACGTGTCATGTCATCATGTCACGTGACATGATAGCATGACACGTGTCACATCTGTTAAGTATTTAAACAGAGAAAACGAAAGGTCAAACATTGAGATACATTTTAAAGATGTGAAACTAAATTGATTCAATTAATTAAAGTGGGACTAAATTGTCACTAATAAATAATATAAGGGACGAAAAAATATATTTTTGCCAAAAAATAATAATTTTATATTTAAGAGAGTAAAATAAATTTATCTTAAAAAAATAAAAATATATTTATTTAAGTTAAATAAAATATAAAGAATTATATTTATTTTATTTTATATTTTGATAATATTTTTTTACATCATTTTACTTTTAGTGATGACAAATTTAGTGAATAAGATTTCACACCTCAAAATCTTAAAACTTAAAGAGTACTTAACAGTTTTTTCTTTTAAGTAGTTTTATCTTATTCCACTAACTTATTTTGTTATATCATATTAACCCTTTTGAATAAAAAAAGAAGTATTTAAACTTAAAGTAACTTTTAAGATGAAGGGCGAAAAAAGTCTCCCATCCATATGAAGTTATTATTAATAGTTAAATATATTGTTAAAATAAATAAACAGTCATATACAAATAAATGATTCAATCTCTTTAACAGTTAAAAAATAACTTTATATGATAAGATATTTTTTTAGCCCCACACCTTGAAATTCACCTTCAAGAGTACTTTACAACAAAATTTATAGTTTTAACTTATTCTACTTGACTAACTTATTTTATTACATGATGTATTTAAGAATTTTGGTTTATTAAAATATGAGTTGTATTTATGACTTAATATATATTTTTCCTATGAGTTCA